AGGACTCACGTTGGAGAAGATGGTGGAGGACTGTCTCCCGTGGGACGGACCCCACGCTGGAGCAGGGGAAGAGTGTGAGGAGTCCTCCCCCTGAGGAGGAAGGAGCAGCAGAGACAACGTGTGATGAACTGACCACAACCCCTGTTCCCCATCCCCCTGTGCCGCTGAGTGGGGAGGAGGTAGAAACGGGGAGTGAAGTTGAGCCTGGGAAGAAGGGAGGGGTGGGGGGGAGGTGTTTTAAGATTTGGTTTCATTTCCCATTGCTCTACTCTGTATTGGTTGATAATAAATTAGATTAATTTTTCTTTAAGTTCAGTCTGTTTTGCACATGACAATAACTGGTTAATGATGTCTCCCTGTCCTTATCTTGACCCACAAGCCTTTCATTGTACCTTTTCTCCCCTGTCTAGTTAAGGAGGGGGAGTGACAGATTGGGTCTAGTGGGCACCTGGCCTCCAGCCAGGGTCCACCCACCACACCAGAGGCAACAAAAAATTTCCAGATTTCCATGCTGCAAGTTGCAGAGTTGATTGCTGACACAACAGTTAGGCTCCTCAGACTATTTAATCCAAACTCCATAATATTTAACTTTTAGAGTCCGATTTAGAAAGTGAGTGAGGCTGACTAATATCTGTGTTCCTATTCATGTCAGCTTACACTTCATGAATTGGAAGTCTCTTCCCTTTATAGAGAAAGCCTTAGAAGATACTTTACTGTATACAACCATGGATGTATTCATAGATGAATGCAATTTTATTCATGAATACTTCTATGCTTGAATTATCCTTTTAAAGTATTACAATATTCTAAAGGAAGGGAAATTAAACATGCCATCACATTCAAACTTTTTAGCAGCATCTAAGAAAAATCTGTTATTTCCATTATTATTAATCACCATTCAAATAGATTTGAGACAATTTTTTTTCTTACACCACATCACTGCTTACCTCATGCTTTAAATCTATTGTAAAGTCAGACTTGAGTGGTTCACTTTTCAACTTCTTTGCAAGCCTATACAATTAAAGTTGAAGAAATTTACTCAAAAAAACATATTAAAAAAAATTCAATTATTAGTGTATGCAGCAAAGTGTGGCTGGTATTACTGACCATCTTATAAGGAAGAAAAAAAATAATAAATCACGCATCTGTATTTATTGTCCCAAGAAGCAACTTGTATTTCTTTGTCATATCAATTTTTTTTTTTTTTATCTGATCACAGCATGACGACGTTAATATTGGTTTTCAGCACACACATTTTGATACATTCTTCCTGCCCAAGAAGAAAGTTCTCATCTGGAGTAGATGGAGAGTCTGGCATAACATTTTCAACAGATTAAAAGCAGCAGTGCATTTGAAGCTCAATATTGATCAGCACCTCATACTTCAGACAATTCTCTTTTTGGTGTATTCCAAAGCACAGTATTTAGGCACCTTCAATTTATGAAAACATCAATCCTTGCTACAGCAAAATGCATTCAACTTTTGCAATCTATGAAGTTTTCAAATCTCATTTAAAAACTAAGCATCTAATCTCAAATAAACATCTCTATAGCATAAGAAATACTTCTAGAGGGCAATGCAGTCACTCTAAGATCCAGGAATAAAACTGCTGTCTGGGGGAGAATACATTTTTAAAATGACAACAGATGGCATTGACCTAGTGGAACAACTAGTACTGGACACCTATTAAGTAGCTGATATGACATTAACTTTTAGATAGGCAGAGTGAAGCAAAATAAATCACACACAGAGCAATGATAGAAATCTATTTATGTATCTTTGTCTACTAATGAATTCTTAAGTGTTTGTTTATAATAATTATGCTTGGATTGTGTAGAATAAGGAAGAAATGGAAGGAGTATTTTCCAAGTAGGTTTATAGTGGGACCGCAAGTCTATGTAGGCATACTCAAGAGCCAGTTGTACATTACTGTGCCTCGTTGAATATCTTACTATGCACCTTAGATCCTCAAACTAAAGTAGGCTTACACATATCAGCATGGATGCTGATAATACAGGTGGCGGCAGCAAAAGCTCAGTGTAGGCTCTGAAGTCAAATCCACAAGAGGCCAGCCTGCACTGGTTGAGTACAATCCAAGCTGTCTGCTGTGGCTAAGCTGCGATCAGCAGCTTCAAGTCAAAGATATCTCAAAATTAACATTTGACTGTGTATGTCTACATGATCTGCAATAAGACCTTCAACTGTACTGCAGAAACACCTTCATCTTTCATAGCAAATACTAATCCATATGACATCATAACTCATTAAAATAACATTGACTAGCATCTAGAAAAATTGTATAAATTAAATATTCTTAACTACTATCAATAAGCAAGAAGTGACTAAAAATTCAATTCTTACTTGTTAACAAGTGGAATGCTAAGTGCCCAACCAGCAGCAAAATCTGGAAATTTAAAGACTGTAGGATTTTCAGCAAAGGCATAATGGTGAATTATTGTAGATTCTTCATCATATAATGCTTTACCTAAAAACCACTCCTGTAAAGGAATATAGGAAACAATTTTGTTCATCTACAGCATCCTTTTAGTGAAGATGACGACTGCATTCATGCTGAATAAAGCAAACCTGAAAACAAAAACAAGGGAAGCGTATTGTTCACAATAATCTGGACAAAAATTGTACTTTGTAAGAAATGAAAGTAAAGGCAGTTCTCTGAATTAAAATACACACTGTATTTTCAAACTCCAGCATATGTCCTGGATACCACTTGTTCAAAGAGCACTGGATCCCAGAATCATAGTAGGGTTGAGGTTGGAAGGGGCCTCTTGAGATTGCTCAAGCAGGGTCAGCCAGAGCAGGTTGCCCAGGACTCTGTCCTGTCATGCTTTGAACACACTCCACAATCTCTCTGGGCAACTTGTTCCAGTATTTGACTGCCCAAACTGACTACTGACTTGACAAGACACTCAAAAGTGTTACATTCAGGAACTTTATATATATTCATTTTGAAGTTCCATCTGTCTAGCCTCTTCTACATTAAGGAACTTAAAAAGCAAATACATTTTAGATATCTTGATCTTCAACACAGTTGAATGAAGAAGGTCCCAAGTATGCATTTGTAAAGTAAAAAATCAAGTAGTAGTAGTATTATTAGAGTTTTAAGTAACAGTTTTTAAGAATTTACTGCTGACTCTGCTGTATCTGAAAATAATTAACAGATTAACAGACTTAAATACTATTTATTTCATGTTACTTTCTTAATCTTTGTGTTTAGAATGGATTAAAACACGTATACCCCCAAATTTTTGCAGAATAAGGACTCTAATGAAGGGGAAAAAGAATATATGTGTGTATATATATAATTAAAAACACATAAACTACTTTTCAGGCCTACAAGCACAAACGATGAATCAGAATTCTGAATCACCTTAATGGTTATATTAAAGCTTTGAAGTGTGAAGTTCTTTGCATTATGACAGTAACTCAGGCTTTTCTTTTTCCTGACAATTTCTCAATTCCTGACAATTCATCACTAAAATAGATTCAAAGTTAGGACAACTGTTTTTTCACAAAAGATTCTCTTTCTCCATACTCCCTGCCATATCTGATTTTGCCTCTCCTTTAAAGGGGCAGCTATCAGCAACAATGAAAAATTCCTTCAAGGCATTAGCACAGTTCACACACTTCACATGAGATAAATAAATAACTTACACAAAATTCCACACAAAAGGGAAAATATTCAAGCAAAAGTACTGTAGAAACATCCGGCCAAAATAAACCAGTCTAACCTCAAGAGGATCTTGCGTCTCAGTAGCCTTCTTTCTAACTCCAAGCAGATGTTGATATATAGACTGAGATAAATTTTATAGCTCCCCAGAGTCGATGAGGAGCAATGACTGAGATTTGGCCAGGATGCAGCAGTCAACAAACAGCAGAAGAGAGGCCTGCATGCACCAGAAGACACCTCCAGCCAAAACCTACTGGCTGAGCCTGGCAGGAGTACTCAAGCGTGGCTGCCCCAGGGGACATTCAGCCTGACACTACCCAATATATGGAGAAAGTAAGGGTGGAGATTTTTTCCCACCATTTTTTTTAACCACCTTCATAGGAGTTGCTACCTCATACCTCCTTACTAAGCCTTTGATTTATACCTTGAAACAAAACAGACTGTTTTCTCCTTTCTTTATTGGAACGACTCAATAGTGGTCACTGGAAGGATTAAAAACCAAAATATTGGGAGGTAAAAAAATGGGCAAACACACTAATTTTTATGCACAATGATTGCCTTAAAAGAATCAAAATAATTCTTTAGAAGCATTTGTGCATACCATTTTTAACACTTTAGAGTCTCCAAAGCTTTGAAATGTTCATAACACAAGCACAATATTCTGTTTCAGAAATAGTTAGTAAATAGTAACATTTTAATATGACAGTACCATCTGCAGACAATTTTTTTCTGGACCTCCACTTTGTTACATTACAGAGTAAAAAAAAAAACCAAACCTTTACTTATCCTAATTTTGCAGGCTAATTTTTACACCAAAACAATCTATAGGTTAAAAAAAAATAACCTTACTTTCCTTTCTCTATAAAACAAAGAAAATTAAACCTATACATATACCCTCCTCAGGCTTTCACATAATATTTTTTCTGGCAATATTAAGCCACAAATCACAGTGAAGGCATTCCAGGTTACAGCCAATACTCTCCAAGCTTACTTGGTCATAACATTGTTTATACAGTGATATGTAGGACAAGTCAATCTGTGCAGGCTGGCTTTACAAGATTAAATTAGTTATATGCAAAGGTGCTTACAAAGTAACTTAAGGAATAGTGGTCATCAAATTGCATATAGAAAAAAAAAGTGGATTAAAAAAAAAGAATGTGATTCATTGCATTATGGATAACTACCATCCACCGGATCAGTTAATATGTTGTGCTTCAAAACTGGCAGGAATCAACTACCTTTAGTAAGAGCACTCCAAAGCCTTTAGAACACTTTAAATTTATAGCTGAAGGAATGTGATGCAACAAAACTCAATGTCAGACCTCAGTGAAGGCTGAGGTGACTTTACCTAACTTGCTAATCAAGTTGATTCTACCCACTCACTTTCATACCCACTTATTCACAAATACCAAGACAAGTGCGCCAAATTCATCTGTTCAGGACTTGCGTCTGACACAGAGGAGAGGAGATTTTCAGCTGTCACATCTTCACTGTGTCTTACTACAACATCTTATGAGTTCTTATGATTCTCAAAGAGAAACTGTTTAGACAAATCTTTTCTACCCTTTAAGTATCAACAGCTACTAAGTCATTCCTACCCATTGGCTTGGTTTATTCATTCTCGCATATTCTTTGGGGCTGTAGTCTACCATCCTATTAGGATGACAGGAAGAGGAGTGGCACATAAAATTTGGTTTAATTTTGCTGCCATCTTCGATTACAAAAGCACAGGTTGAATCAATCTGCTGTTGAAACATAGAATCACAGAGAGGTTGAAGTTGGAAGAGACCTCTGGGGATCATCTGGTCTAACTTCCCCTCCTCAAGCAGGGCCACCAATACAGCAGGTTGCCCAAGACCGTGCCCAGATGGCTTACAAGTATCTCCAAGGATGGACGCTCCACAACCTCTTTGGGCAACCTATGCCAATGCTTGGTCACCCTCACAGTAAAAAACGTGTTTCCCGATGTTTAGATATAATTCACCATCTGAGTGCTTGCCTTGAGGTCTTAACGTACATCAGATGTTCCTCAATGTTTTTTAGTTTTACTGCAGTCAATAATGTCCTTGGTTATCAATGCAGGTCATTCTCTTAACATTCCTCTACAGTCTCCTATAATACTTTTACACATTTGTTTTCACTGAGTATTACATAAATATCAGTCTCAATAGTTCTGTTACTAATCTCTACATATCCAGATTGAAAAGCTGCAGATTCATCAGCTATTCGCATGCCCCTTATAGACCTTTTATTGTGGTTAATGTATACCAGCTTTTTATTGTGCAGACTGCTGACATTTTAAAATGAATAATCAATAAGCTCATTCTGGTCTAACTCACCTCATATTTTGTGACTGATGGACTACTACTATATGTAAGGAATCAGCTATGGACTGTTACACTAACATGACGATTACAAAAGCAAAACATTTTATTTTCCTTTTAATGCAGGTTGGAACATAATTTGTTATTGTAATAGAATTTACATGTAATGTGAAAAATTAAAACTGGCATAAGGGCAGCATCTAGAACAAATATGTTTATGCTTCTAGTCTGAGAACATCAATTAGGAGTAGCTATTTCTGAAATAGAAATAAATGGATATTCCGAAGGCCTGAATATATCCAGTCAGCCATTTTGAGACAGAGCATTTAAAAATGTAAGATCTCTGAATTACTATTATTACCATTTTAGAAAAGAATTGTGAGAAAACACACGACAAGGCCACGTGAGACCTGAAGCAGAGTTCAATACTCAGTCAAGGTAACAATAAAGAGGCAAAACATATTTTGCACAGGAGATTTTGGCTTGTTTTATTCCAGGCAAAGGACGGACAGTAAGCTGAATTTTTTTCTGAACACTGTGGATTCTAAACATTAACAGCTTTCGTGTCAGTTGCATTGCCAAATTTACTTTGTTTCTTCCATTTTTCTTTTGTTCTGCAAGTCTTCTGGTGATGTTTCTTTTCCAGCAGGTAAAGAAAACTATCTTATCACCAAGACAGTTCAGAAAGAGAATGCAAATAAAATACCCTACTATATTAGATCAGAGATAGTAAGCAAACTAAGATCAGTCATTCTGTCTGATGATAATTAGAACTGATGACAGACAGGAAAATGGGGAGGGGGGACCACACAGCAGACTATATTCATCTTTTTACTGATGCTACATGATTTTCAGGTTATCCACAGAAGTAATCTTTTCTCTGCTGAATTTTAACAGTTCTTCAACAGCTTAGACAGGCGCTCATACTACTTCATGTTAAATACCTTGCTCGCTCTCAGCCTCAGCAACAGAAATCCATCCCCCTATTTTAAGCTGTTTGGATAAATCTTTTCCAATGTTTGGAGCTCTGAGACATCCAGGTAGTGTTACAAAATTAAATTCTGGACTAGTGAAACTGTTCCGTAACTAGGAATTATAAAATTCTGTATTTATAATTTTGTACTTAAAATGATTCCACGTTTCATCTAAAAACCCATTCAAGCACATTCAAAAGAAAGTTAAATATCTGATTTTTTATTTCACCTTAGACCCGTCAAATCTTCCAAGTGTTTCTAGCAGCTTTACAACTTGTATTCTTGTGTCTTCTTCACAGAAGAAAATCCAGGAGGAGTTTCTACCATAGGTAACAGAGAAACTAACAAAAGAAATTAACATTTTACTAATAAACTGGCTTATAAACAGAATGATAGATTCAACCCACACTCCCCAAATCTAAGTACTTTGCAATCAATCATTCATTTACACAGAAACTTTTACTACTAACTTGGAATTACATATCAAAGGACTACAGTGAATGGATAAAGATATTGCCTCTGCTGCTATCTATTTATACAGCCCTAGTTATTCCAGAAAGAAGGCAATACAGATACATAAAGAATGTCCATTTAGAAACTTACAGGTACTATAGGTCTAATAGCCACCTATGAATACAGAGGTTTATAGATAGCAGTTTAAGTTACCCTCCCTTCTGTATCTTAACGTTCTTCCAAGGAGCCCCACTGTTGGGCATCTGACACCATTGCAAAAATCATGAAAATGCCTAATGACAGCTTTTCTCACAGCTGTTTGACATGGAGCATCCCCAACCTAAAAACTTCATTAGCTTTTTCAGTACAGATTGCAGGGACTTCCCTACCTTCCCCAAAGCTGACACTAGCTCAGTGCAGGATTCCCAACTCCTTCAGAAAGTTCTCATTTCTTATTTCTATACTCCTCTCAACTTAATTCTTTCACTACTTCACAAAACAAAACCTTATTAATTCATGACATCCTAATGGAAAAAAAATCCAATCATTACTTGTCCAGTTTCCTTTGTATAGCTTTTACATTGATTTAATTAAAGAAATCATCTGAAGAGAGGGATAAGAAAATTAGCATCTACGAACATCACAGATTTCTTCCTTTACAGCTTTGTCTACTGATAAAATCAGCAATGAAAATAAACGGCAGAAATGTAAGTCAGCAAAAATAAGTAAAAAAGGGTGATAGGATAATTTATGTTTTAGGGAACAATATTTGCCTAGGAAAAAAACCAAACAAAAAACCAACAAACAAAACCAAACCCATTACCTGAGAAATATTTTGTGCTAGAACATGTGATACCTGCATCTGCAGGTCTTTAAATTACATGCTAGAAGCACCAGATGGGTGCCAGGTGCTAAACTAGTTCAGTCTTTTTTATCTGGGACAAGCCATCTTCCTATAAAGCTACCTTTCCTCTGTGTCTTGCAATGATATTTGATTATTCACTGCTTTCTGCTTATGATACTTAATCCGCTAAACTATAATAGCCAGAAGAACTCACAATTCATCCTTTTAGTTAATAAAAGCATATACTTGCTAAACCACGACACTACTCAACACTGAAATCTGGGGAACTCTTTGCCATTCAGGCAAGCAAACAGGGTACAATCAACTGGGAAAGACACTTCCTAGCTGTTCCTTCTAAAACTTGCCAAACAAGTACAGAAAGGGTATCAGATATCCTCATATTTTTAAATATGTACAGTACTCAATGCCCTGTGAAGACTGAAGGGTTTTGTCTCACACTTTAGTGCTCAGCTAGAACTTTAGGAGAGAAATATCTGGATTTATGCAAAAGCAGGTGGGTGAGGGGCAAGGAGAAAAACACTAGAATGATCCACACAAAAAGAATTTCTGTATCTTGTGAATATTGCACATACAAGTTCCCAAAAAGAATGATCTGTTCATCTAGCTACTGATGGACAAACAGAATGATTTTCAAGGCTAAGTATTTCAGGCTTGCAGAGAGTCTTATGTAGACCTCATAGTACACAAATTTGGAGTTCAGATGTCAAGGAGCCACTGGAGATACTCAGGTAAGATCCAGGGCAATAATTTAAAAAAGGGATTTCTTCTCTGCTTGATGAACGTGGTTATTGAGAAGAAATGCCGTGGGCCTTCTGGAGACAGTAAGGATACTGTGTCATAAGACATCCATTGATATCATTACATCTTCTGAAATTAACTATTTTGTCCACACTAACCTGTGTCCAAGAACTAAAACTTAAGAATTGTCATAACTGTTTCGAGGCCTACTTAAAAATGCTGACAACCACAGAACTGAGGGAAGCCTTTCTTCTGAAAGCAGTTTTCAGATAAGAATGCATCTTATATCACAATTCCTAGCATCATCAGCTGCTGCAGAATGGGCTGATCCCTTAATCTTCCTTCCTCCTCTTCTATCCATTGAAAAAACTAAAAAGTACAAGCCCCACAACATCTCCATGCTTCTAAACTACTCCATGTCTTCGTTCTGCCAAAAGTATTAAGTGAAACAGTAGATACAAGGAACTTCATATTCCAGAATTCTCTTCAAGATGGAAATCCTCTACTTAAGATTCCTCTTCTGATTTCTGGAAGAATTTGCTTCTGCTTTATCTCACAAACTAGCATTTGTATTTTTGCTTCTGAGTTTTGCTATCTTGTCAGAGCTGTATCTGTAAACCCTGTCAGCAAGACATAAATAATTCAGAAGAGAAACCACTAGGTCACTGAAATAGGAGCTAAGAAGGAAAACCAAAGATGATTGATAGTTGGAACATCATCTTCCAGTTTTTCAATTTACTTTAATTCTCCTTTTGCTTCTTTTCACAGTTTACATATATCTCAAAGATAGCTACTATACAAGCACTATTTTCCTGTTTCTACACACAGGGAAAGCCATGGAAAGCAGAAGAGGGAAAAGCATCCTGTCCTGTAACCAGTCTGATGCAAAAACCTCAAACCAAAACAGAAACATCCTTTTGAGTAATTCTAATAAATTATATTTACTAAATTAAACCTCAATAGGCTGCAGAGCCTCTGGCATCATTTTCAAATGCAAGTTTTAGGCAAAGGAGAGCCTTCACTACAATGGAGCTTTAGGACTTTCTGAAGGAGGAATCATTGCTTCCTTGGAGCCACCTGCATAATCTAAGCAGAAAAGATACTTGAAATTACCTGTCTTCTCTGACCATACTAAGATGAAAACCGGCCATACAGCTTCTAAAAAGATGTCAAAACCTACACTTTTTCACTATAGAGGTGTACCACCTCTCAGAAACACTATAAGCAACAAAAGATAGAAATCTGAAACAGGTATTATCATCTATTTTTAAGGAATGATTTATCCACTTCATTCAGCCAAGTAATCTGAAAGGTCAAAAGTTCTGAAATACCTCACACCTTACACTGTGAGAAGTGGGAACCAAATAGGAAAACACACATTTGAAATGATATTTCTTTTGAATAGTTTACTTCCTTAACAATTTTAAACCCCATGACAATTTGAAGAAGGTAGTTGCTCAGTTACATTATATTATTGTTATTCTTTTACTTAAAGTACCTTTCTCTGATTTAATGAAATTTAACAGAAAATTGCTTTGGAAAACTAAAAAAGAAGACTAGGAAAGTGAAGAGATAAGGTTGCAACTCCCATTCAAATACTTTGCTTCTGAAAAAAAGAGGCCTGAGTACTTAATATTTATATTCTTGGTTGCAAAAAATTCTGAAAATAACTGACACTCATTACACTTACTCTCTCATTAATGGTAATATTGTCCATGCACCTTCATGCCCGTCCATCTGATGAATAAGCAGAACCGTAGGTAATTCCTTTAAGAAAAATAAAAATATCCCCATTAAACTTGAATTATAGGCACTTTGTTTCCTAAATGCCAACTAATTGTAAAAAAAAATACTCAGGAATGACTGCTTAGCTCTTCATTGTTTTTTACTGGCAAGTGGCCCTGCAGAATACATGACTTAGGATGGGACAAAACAAGGTGACCTGCAATTTAGGGAAAGTGCTTCTTCCAACTCATGATTTCTTAGTTCTCTATTAGATATAAAGGTAATACACTTCAAGTGAAATGTTTTGCATAGGTCCCATATAATCAATATATCATACAAATTTCTTTACCGTATCATAAAATCCCATACTGTAAAGAAAGACTTATAAACAATGTAGGGCATTCTATAAAGGCTTCCACTGACAATCATGTTACACAGAGCTTATGCAGGAGTTCTAACACTCTTTACTTTGCTGAGTTCAGCTCTGACCTGTCACACTAACATCATGACAAAAACCCCACAGGTTTACACAAAAAATCAAAATGGACTTAGCATTTTTTTCTTCCTGAAAAATCAAAGCAGCTTCCTGAAAAGGAAAATCTTTTCATAAATGTCTTTGCCCTTTTGTTACTTGAAATTTCTGTTGTAGGAGATCACGATGTCTAGTAGACAAGCTATCATTCTGGAGTAGTTCCCAAGAAAACACCCTTCAGACATGGCCCTCTGATAAACTAAACTGCATAATTTATTCACTGGTTCATACATGTAAAAAGTGGGAGATATATGTATCTCCCCTAATATATAGGCAGTACCTTACTCCATTGATTTACCACGTTTACAAGTACAGTTCTCCACTGCAGCATTATTAAGGTCTCAACCACCTTACAAATGTCTAAATCCTTTGGGTTAGGTAATTGTACTGAAGCAAAAATCATCCTGCCAGAAAAGCCTAATCTTCCAATTTATCTAAACTTCCTCACCATGTAAAGTACATCTCCTTACAACAATTAACCTCATAAGCACTGGTGATGCCAATGCACTTCAACACAAATGACTTAATACTAGCAGGTAAATGATCCCACCTTTCCATTATACCAACTGTTAGGTTATGTGATTAAAACCTCATCTCCATAACCACAAAGCAGTGCAGAAGAACAGTAACAGAGGAGGAGCCCCAATATAGCAGTTGGAGAAAACTGAACACCTGACCCCCCAGAGCTGTTACAGGGGAGCCATCAGCCTGTCCAGGTGTGACACTCACCAGCCAAAGAGAAGGGAGAGGCTCCCCACTCACAGTCTGTCAGGGGGGTTACTGCCTACAGGGGCATGGGACTCAGGACAGGACTCAGAGGAAGAGCACGTTGGGATGGCACAAAACTTAAGATGCTTAGAGGAAGGTGAAAGGTCAGGAAAAGAGGGATCAAAGTGGTCTGAGGAGGAACAACCATCGATAAGCACAGGGAAGGGAAAAAAGGAGTTGGTCACTTAAAAGATTGCTGGTCAGGACACTTGTCCGGCCATGCCCTGCACTGATCACTGCAGTCTGTCCTGCCTTCTCATCACGCTCCGTTTCTAAACTCCTGGGCGGGGGACTCTGTGTGCCTGTGTGCGTTTGGAGGTCTGAGTGCCTGCAACTGGAGGGGCAAACACGAGTCAGAGGTGCACCTGTCTGGTGTCAGAAACTGGGGAGAGCAGGGTGCATGCATGTTGTGTGTGTGTAAATGTGTGTACTTGCTCATGAGCATCAAGCTGGACTAAGTGTAGAAGAGGCTTGGGAGCCAGGTATCAGAGCAGCCACAAGTCTGTGGCAGACACCAGAGACCAAGAGCCGTGATGGTTGCTGGAGGAAGCAGGAGGTCCCAACTACAGAAGAGCAATGTACACCTCTGGGGCATAAGAATCAGGTACTGGTAGGGTATAAATCTGCACCAGCTACCAGAAAGACCAATTTGCATGTGTGTGTCTGTGTGCCAGGCAACAGGGAGGCCACGGGGTCTAGGGATCAACTGCTGGATACACCAAGTGTCTAAAGATACTGTGAGGATCCATAGTGTGCGCACACGTGCGTGTGCAGGAGCAGGGCTGAGCACCATCAACTGGAATGAAGCTGTGAGTGGCACAGCAAGCCAAGGCTCGCATGCTGGCAGCTGCAGAGATCGTGAATGCCAGGGCCAGTGACTGCACAGACTGAATGTCAAAGACCAGCTACTGAAAGCATCCATATTGTAGGTATGTATATCTATGTATACATATTCCACAAACAGGCTTTCATCCTGATCAGCCAGAGAGGTGAAACAAGGTCAGGCCATTGGTGCAGTTTGTGTTTGTGCAAGTACTGTGGTTTCTGTGTTGATCTCTTTTGATGACCACGTAACATATGTAGTGTGTGTGTGCGTGCACATGTGGCTATTAGGAACACGCGCACACGTGCCTATTGGACCTGGGGACGCAGAGCTGCAGCGGCCTTGCCTCTGTCAGGCTGGAGGGTTCGGCAGCTCCCAAGACAAACCATCTTGGCCTCTCAAGGGCCTAATTCCTTTCCACTTACACCATGCATATGCCAAACATTTTCGTTTGATGAATGCATATAAGCCAATGCCATTAACATAAAATTCATGTTTAAACATAAAAATTATTTATTCTCTAGAAAAGCTGTAAGATAAAGTTCACACTGCTTGTTGCCAAGTTTACTTTAAATCCTTTTTAATGATAGTTAAGCATAGCACCTAGAAACACATAAAACCTCCATACTTCATACACGAAAGAAAACATCACCACCACTCTAAAGAATAACTGTGTCTCTCAGGAGTGCATTAACCCTATCAAAAAATAACGATCTACTGTTTTTAAAAATGTTTATGCTATCGTGACTGACCCCAATTGAAAAGAAACAATGCCAAAACTCACATTTGGATATTCATCTGCATCTAAAACATCAGTGTTTCCGATTTATGGTTCTAGTTCAACCCGATCTATTGAATATGCTTCTTGTTAGTTTCAATTTATTGCAAAACCAAAGAAGTCCAGAGGTTTTTAGTGGAAGTGGCAAATCTTAGTAACAGTATGAGGAACATCTAGTATTTCACTAAAATGTAACCACTTCATGGTAAAACCATGTTTGCTTATGGGATTCCAGCTAGGAAAATAAAAGGACTAACCTCTGTCTTTACAAGAACGTTTGTTTTTACAAGCATAGAAACCCTGCAGTTCTGCTAGTATTTGTATGTGGCCATGTATTCCATGCACAACAGGAGCCAGAGATAAAAACAGTTAATAATATATTCAGTGTCTATATCACACTAAAGGCTGAAGTTGTATTCATTTTACATACAAACAACACTTTCCAATGCAAAAAGTATGAAGTAAATTACATAATCTAAGTCGCTGTACCATATACTCATTTATCTCCTCTTTAACAAAACAACCCAAACTCTTTCTTTGTGCAGATCAAAGGAGTGATGATACAGAAAAAGCACTCTTTTTTTTGAGCTAATCTGATATTTTTGCATGGTATCTTTTCTTTTTGACATTCTCATAAGCCTGCTCTCTCTCTCTACTTCCTCTAAAACACGAAAATACATACCTTGCATATACCTTTTCTTCCATCCATCTCTATCAATGCATCAATTCTGATTTAATAAAGGAGATGCTTAACAAACACTGCATGGGTAAAATAGCCTCTTCCAAAAATACAGGAGTATCTCTGTTGCTTTTCATTTCTCATTTTATGTATTTTCACTCTGAACCTAGTGGAACTGGGCTGACCTATTCATTTTATTTATTCTGCCTTCAGTACAAAGACAGAAAAAGGCAAAAAGTACCTGATGTCAGCTTTGGAGAGTAAAAGGGCATGTGCAGGCTAGCTCATCAGGGGATGGCTAGATAGTCAAGGTAGTGATAAGTAACTTGGACACTGTCTGTGTTTCTCATAAAACTCTCCTACAAATGCATCCATACCCTGTACTGTATTCACTGGTTATTTTATCTTGAAACTACTGTTTCCACAGTTACAGTGCCCATATGCTTTCACATACATTAACACTTTACACACATCATGAGTCAAATTTAATTTAAATAAAATAATTTAATCACTTCTGAAGACCAAGAAACTACCCTCCCCACTTTCAAAACTGAGCTGACTTTAAAAGGGCAAAACCAAAAAATGGAATCACTTGTGAAATATTGTATAAGACATTTTTACCCCAAATACCACCTACTGTATCACCACAGTGAGAGCAGTAATACCTCCCTCAGATTATAATTGCAAACTCTACAAAAAATAACCCCTAAGTGTGAATAAAAGGGTTAGATCCACATCTTCAGACCAATTCAAAAGACATTGACACAGCCTCATATGTACCTTTAAAATCATTTAGTATTATTTATGCAAGGTGAAGTACAAAGATGCTAGTGACACGCTCAATTTCCCAACAAATCATCAACAGAACTGAAATCAAACTCTGGTTCTGGAATCTAAACATTAACATGTGAAAAACCTTGGGGAATAGCATATCCAAAGAGGAAAGAGATCAATCAGAATAAAAGAATTTTTAAGAAAGAGAATTGATAACCTGAAACAAATATCTGAAATCTTTCTGTACTACATGCAATTTCATATTAATCTACCAAAGCCAATAAAAGAAATGCACAATTGATAAAAACAAAACAGTACTGTGTGAAAACAAAGAAAAGGGCTAACTTTTCATGGACTGCAAGGTTAAAGGGGACCTCTGTAGGCACCCAGGATGGCAGAGATCATCCCCAGCTAAAACTGGATTTCCAGAGCCACAGCTCGGTCACATCCTCTAAGACCCCCTAGCAGACCTGCATTCGCTTTGTTTTCCTGTAGAATGGACTCCACCGAATTTCACCTAAGCATAACTAAACCTTGCCTTAAGTGTATGGTTTAGTGAGAACATACTTTTTAGAACACAATTCAAACTGTATGTTGCTCACCAATATTTATTATATGCCCTATATGACATAATACTGCAAGTACTACATACTACAAGAGATACGGAACTGTGGTGAAATGCAAAACA